ATACTTGTGATCCAAACACACGCAATAGTTAGCTTCAAACATTTGTATAATATTTATAATATTAAGTAAGGACATCGTGTCATTGAAAGAGAAGGAAAAAAAGATTTGCCAGAAGACAACCATGATGCACGTCGTGTTTATGCAACCTCAAGATCTTTGTATTTCCCAATGTAAATACTAATTAGCCAGGGTAATTAAGGCAAACTGTAATATATATATATATATATATATATATCTATATATATATATATATATATATATATATATATATATATATATATATATATATATATATATATATATATATATATATATATATATATTTATATATATATATATATATATATATATATATATATATGTATGTATGTATGTATGTATGCATGTATGTGTGGGGGGTGGGGGATAGTAGTATAGGAAAATGGGAGTTTTGGCCCACCACCACCCTCCCACACCTCCTCCCCCCCCAAACCCTCATTTCCCTATACTACTACTATGTAGACAGGTATTTTGTAACCAGACAAAACAACAGGTGTTGGAATGCGATAAGCTCTGTCAACAGAAGTAACGAATTTGTTAGAACAGCGCATACGTAGAATACGATTATTCTAAAGACAGCAATTGGGTTTTACCACAAATTTTTTATCAGATAACAGGATGAAAATTAAAGTGTACATTAGAACGTTTCAGTTAACAAGGCGGAAATTAAACTAGCATTAGAATGAAAATGATATTATTTTATATCTCATTACCAATTATTATTGTTTCAACTGTTGATATTAAAAATACTTCACTATCACGACTATAGATACTAAATTTTACTTTTCCGCTCACACAACGATGGGACTCAAACAAATCTTTCATTTCTGGTTTGTTCAGAGGATATTTTTTGTTGATAAAATATACCTTTGACCGATCGAGATCAATTGTGAGTTTAGTATAGTTTTGTTGGCTAATGGGGCTGTGAAAGTTTTTAAATTCCGCTAGCAACTTTTGATACAATTGTTCGAGATAATTGAAATACACGCTGTTATCAGATCTGATGAGCGAAAGTTTTAACTTGTCACGTGTTCCATTAAAACATATACCTGATGTTTCATTATTAAATTCAACTGTCAATTGTTTACCGTCCATCATTAGATATTTGATGTTACTATTGTAGCTATTTGTCATTGTCAAATTTTCAAACATTATTTTATAAGTTTAGATAAAATTTCAGTTGGAAAAGATAATGTCGAGTATAGATCTAACATCATGACAATACCCAAGGGCAAATGTATCTACCCCATTTTTACAATAGCGTTTGTCATCAAAATTATACAATCCACGTTTGATAATGACATCTGTTTCGAGTTTATGATGATTAGTTCGAATTGCCATAGCTCTCATAAAACTAACACCGCCATCAAGCGCATACCTGTAGTCATCAAATTTCATAAACTTTTTAACAAAATCACGAGGCAGACCTTTTCCTTTTTTTCGTTATTTTATTATTGTCCAATAATACGGCATACATTGTGCTGCGTAATCCGATAAAATATTTGGTAGCGCTTGAGTTCATTTCATCTTTAAACTTACCAATAACCTTTTTATTTGTGTCGTCATGAAATTTACTGTCACGTGGATAATCGGAAAGATCAAACAGATGTCGATTATTGTACATGTCCTGATAGATGTCCTCACATTCGATTTCATATACGAGCGAATCAGTATCAGTAAACAATAATCTACTAGCCGGCCACTGATTTTTAACAAAAGTGTAATGAAAATCGTACATCAGCCACTTTGATAAATCTAACACTGCAGCTCCAACATACATCGGCTTGTTTAGTTTTAGATTTGCTTTTCTTCTTTGTACCGCAACAAGATTTTCATTAAATATTTTCATGCTCACAAAATCATCGTCTGACACAAGTTTGTTTCTGCGATTGACATCATTAACTATTTCAATATTTACACGTTTCCTAATATTCTCCATCGTCTTACCAAAAACGGAATTGTTCATCAGTTTAAAGAAGTTTTTTTCAAACTCTGTTTTCGCTGCAGCCCTTCTTGAAGTGTTTGAGTTAATATAACCTCTCATCCACGGCGACTGATTAAATTTTAGTACACGATGAACTTTTCTCAACACAAGACCAGCATCGACTGCTTGTTTTAAAACTTTGTAATGCAAAACGTAATTTTTCTTATCAAGTAAATTTGGTACTAGTTTCTTGACCATGGAATGTTGCCTTGGTGATGCTAACGCTTGTTGTTCTTTTGATAACAAACTATAATCTATGACCATCGATTCCGCACAGAAAGGGTAATCGTTATGTAATTTGTGTAGCTAATTTGGATAATCAAGATCAACTTCAACGAAATAGGAAACATCTTCGGGTATCTTTTTTTCTGTCTCCGATAGAAATCGATCAGCCGTGATCCAATGAAATCCACCAAGAGGCATTGGTTCTGCCATCAAATACCCGTATAAGTTATTACAATCTAGATAAACTATATACTTCGAAGGAAGGTCAGGGTTATACTGTTTCAAATTTTTGTTGTTTGCTTCAGCATACTTTTTTGTTATCACGCTAA